TCGCGCAATTTGTCCACCAAGGGTTTGCGAGCTGCGGCGCGCGCCCCCCTCACCAGCTTGGCCACAGCTGGTTTGTTGCCGAGGTAGTGATCTCTCTTCGCGGCCCTGCGTACCTTGTTGCTGTGCAGCTTCTTCTCGTAAGCGGGTGTCCCCTTCTTTGGGTTCCCCATGGTGTCGCGAAGCACGGAGCGCGGAACCAATCAAACCTTGAGCCAAAGCGGTTACGGATGGTCGAAGCTTGCTCGTGCCGCATCCGCTGGGGGGCTCTGTCATTCGGTCGGAGGGTTAGCAAACACTGTAAAAAACAGGTGTTCCAGGTCGGAGGGTCAGCAAACACTGTAAAACACAGGTTTCTCATGTTTTTCAAGTTTTTGCGCATCCATCCACCTGGGAGCGCATAGATCCCCCAAAACCTGAAAAAAAACGGTGTTTTGCTGTGGTTTCTCGGCCTCTGACCTGACAAAACCTGTAAAAAACAAGTTTTTCAAGCCGGAGGGTTGGCAAACACTGTAAAAAACATGTTTTTTTCAGGTTTTTCAGGTTTTTGCGCATCTTTCCACTTGGGCGCGCATAAATCCCCCAAAACCTGAAAAACCTGAAAAACCTGTGTTTTGCAATGGTTTCTCAGCCTCTGACCTGAACAACCTGTTTTTTTACAAGAAATTCTCTACCTCTGGCTTGACAGGAGGCGCCACGAGCGCAATCGAAAGGACGAACTGAATTGATCAGGCACTCTCCTCCTCCTCCTCCCCCTCATCATTCTTCCTCCTCCTTCTCCCCCTCCCCCTCCCTCCTCCTCCTCCCTCGTGGTTGGGATGTTCGCCCCACGAGGGCTCTCGAGGGTTAAAACTGAGGGGCCCTCGTGTCGTCGTTTTCCCCCGCCGTCGCGGGGGTATTTTGCTGCCAGTCCTGGCTGGTAGAGGGCTGGGGGAGGTCCCCGCGAGTCCGCCTTTGTTTTGGAATGGTGGAGTCGCTCTATACTGTTCCTCTTCTTCAGGCAGGTCTCGTTCGAAGCCTGAGGTGGGGCCGCCCTGGCCCCCAGCATAGCCGCCGCGTGTTCGGGCCTCGGACGCGCGCGCCGCGCCTCGTACCCTCGTACCCTATCCTCCTCCTCTTCCTCCTCCTCTTCCTCCTCTTCTTTCTTCCTCGACGCCAAGTTGGAAAACGCTGAAACCGCCCAGGCGCCAAAAACAACCAAAAACGCCCAGGCCTACATCGGGTCTGGCGCCCCTCCTCCTCCCTCCTCCTCCTCCTCCTCCTCCTCCTCCTCCTCCTCCTCCTCCTCCTCCTCCTCCTCCTCCTCCCCTCCGCCGAGGAGAGCCGTGGGCCTGCCCGCCCTGCACGAGGAAGGCGGGCTGGCTGGTCCGGTGCAACCCGATGCCCGTCCCCTGGGTGTTCCGGTACTTTGTCTGCGAGATGGGCGCCATGAACGTGAAGGCGCGCGTCGGAGGGCACCAACTATACACCTACACCGGTCCAGCCCAGGCCGATCCCAGGCCCAGGATCGGTGCATATGCAGTCTGCCCATGGCAGGAGGGCGTACACGCCGATCCTGGGCCCAGGTTGATCCTGGCCGGGATCGGTGTTGGTGTGTAGTTGGTGCCTCCCTAGCGCGCTCGCTCTGCTCCGCGCCAGCTCGTTGCCGTGCGCAGGGGGCCCTCGCAAACGACACGACGGCATGCTCTAGCATATCTCTTTGTCTCTCCCTCTCTCTATGTCTCTCTCTTTCTCTCTCTCTCTCTCTCTCTCTCTCTCTCTCTCTCTCTCCTCTCTCTACTTCTCCTCTCTCTCTCTTCTCTCTCCCTCTCTCTCTCTCTCTCTCTCTCTCCTCTCTCTCTCTCTATCTCTCTCTCCTCTTCTCTCTCTCTCTCTCTCTCTCTCTCTCTCCTCTCTCTCTATCTCTCTCTCTCTCTCTCTCTCTCTCTCTCTCCTCTCTCTCTCTCCTCTCTCTCTCTCTCTCTCTCTCTCTCTCTCTCTCTCTCTCTCTCTCTCTCTCTCTCTTTCTTCTCTCTTCTCTCTCTCTCTCTCTCTCTCTCTCTCTCTCTCTCCTCTCTCTCTCTCTCTCTTCCTATCTCTCTCTCTCTCTCTCTTCCTCTCTCTCTCTCTCTATCTCTTTCTCTCTGGTTTTCTCTGACAACTGTCCTTGTCCCATGGTTTCGATCACCCGTCTCCATTTTCTTCATTGCCCCCCTTCCCTTTCGCTCACCCCCTCAATCGTTGTCTTTAGTAGTCCCCTCGTTCTGTTTCTCCCCCCCCGTCTCCGTCTCGCCATTCCGTCCAATCTCTCCCCATCTGGTTATTTCATTTGCCCATTCTCCCTCTGTCTCTCGCTGCCCCTCTCCCCGAGCCTCTCGTCCATTCCACCTGCACCGCATCACTTTTTTTTCTGCACGGAGCAAGCCTCTTTGGAGACCCCATAGCGACCGCGCCGCGCCAGGTCGACATCCGGGTGGCCGACAGGGCGCGGCAGGTCTGCCTGTCCAGCCTGGCGGACGCCCAGGACACCAATCCGGACAGGAGCTGTGTTTCTTTGCTGTTGTTTGGCCATGCCTGGGACGTGCTTGGCCACGCTCGGCCTCTGGGGAGCCTCACGGGACCCCCGGACCGACACCGAACCTCGTCGGAGTGAGCCGCCAGTCCTGGAGAAGGGGGCCGAGATCGTTGGGGGGCCCACGCTGTCACGAAGCACGACGTCGGAGTTTTGCGATGGTGGGCGTTTTTTGATGCATGGTTTTGCCGATCGGCGCGGGCCCTCGCACCCCCCTCTCCCCCCACCCCCCCATGGCCCATGGAGTAGATCTTGGCTGTTTTGGGCGCCTGCTTCGAGCAGGTGGGGTCCCTCTCTCATCGGCCGCACTGCTGCAAACAGTCGCACTAAGCAGAGGTCCGGAGCCAGACCCCCCCCCCTCCCCCCCTTTCCGCCCAGTGTCGAAACGCCGAATGCAAGAACGCTCACGTGGCAGATGGTGTTGCAATGTCGGCTGCGATGCGCAGTTCCGATCCCAATGGGCAGAGCGGCAGGGATGCCGGGGATTGACAGACCTCCTACCCTGACACGTCGATGAGTGAATTGTCCGTTCTCGGTTCTCGAGAGGGCGCCGCGGCCGTCATTTTCCGGCTTGCGCCCGCCAGGTTTGGGCCCGAGGTCGTTTTCACGAAACCACGTTTTACTGAAGGAAGGTGTTGCAATGTCGGCTGCGATGCGCAGTTCCGTTCCAATGGACAGAGCGGCAGGGATGGCAGATCTTGGCATCGCTCGGACGTGTGCATGTTTTCCTTCGGCGAGGACCATCGAGGAGCACCCTCGATCATTTGGAGAGGAAAAAAAAACACGAAACCGAAAAAAAACACAGGGAATGGACGTCCGAGCGATGGCGAGAGATCACAGCTCCAGCACTGACCGCCAGCAGCACCAGGCAGCCAACCCGCTGCAGCAGGCGGCATCCCCTTGGGGAGAGACCTCCGTCCTCGTCGCACCGGTCTGGTCCGTGGCGACAGCAGGCCCTCGATGCGAAGTGGCTGGGCACTCTCACCGTGTCCCGAGTGCTCGCAGGCTTCTTGTCGGGCCGGACGAAAGGGGGGGATTGGGAAAGGAGGGGGTTCGAAATTTGCTGCATGCAGCTGGTTTCGGCCTCACCGAGGGTCCCATTCCTCGATACATGGCCGCCTCCGGCGCCGGGAGGCGCCAGGAAAATCAGCTACGTGAGCTGATTCTCAACCCCCCCCCCTTTGCTATCCCCCCCTTTCGCCCGACCCGACCTTGTCACGGGGCTCGCGTGTAGTTGGCTCAGAGCGGAGGTCCGGGGCGCGTCTCCGTCCGCGTCCGGTCGTCCCCGTCCGTCTTCACTCTCCCCTCCTCCGGGATTCTCGCCACCTCCGCGGAGCTGCGGGAACCAAGAGGTACCGATGCCGCTGCTCTTGGGGCCTCTGCTGGGGGTGCGCTCTGTCCAGAGCTTCGGCGCGAAGCCAGCGGTGGCGGCGAGGGCATCCCAGGAGGCCCCAGAAGGGAAGTACGAGGCAGGCGCAGCGGTCTCGGTTCCTCTCCCGGGGCGGGCACCCCGGGGGGGAGGGAGAGGGGGTGGGCCTCCTCAGGAGGCTTGGGAGTCCTCCTCCTCCTCCTCCTCGTCCTCCTCCTCCTCCTCCTCCTCCTCCTCCCTCCTCTTCCCTCCTCCATCCTCCTCCCTCCTCCTCCCTCCTCCTCCCTCCTCCCTCCTCCCTCCTACTCCCTCCTCCCTCCTCCAAGGCCGGAGGGCCTCTGAGAAGCCCCGCTGGGGCGTCGCGTACGGGGGCGAGCGATACATGGGGGGGCAGCGAGGGCTGCAGAAACGGGGCCCTCACAGGGCCCCTCAGAGGGGCCCAAGAGGGAGCCTTTGGTGCCCGAGAAGTGCACCTTTCTCCCCCCCCATTTTACGTTGCATCTTCGGGGGGCCTCGCCTGTACCCCACACTGGTGTCTGCTCTTGTGCCCGTCGTGGGCTCGATGCGGGTTCGACGTGGATTCGACACAGATTTGGCACGGATCCGACGAGGCCGACGTGGATTCGACACATGTTCGACACGGAGAGGGCTACGACGGGACCGACAAGGTCCCTCGAAGATGCATCATAGCCCCCCAAAAAAATCTCGCCCCCACTGAGCGACGCCCAACCCGCCGCCCTCTGAGAAGAGCTTTGCCTTCGCAGTTCCCCCACCCCCGCTCGCCACCGAAGTTTCCCCCCTGATCCGTATGCAACTCCTGGGAGGTCAAAGTCTGATTTTGCCCTGGTCCGAAATACGGCTAAATCTGGCTTAATCCCGCCTAACTCTGCTTAATCCGGCCTGCCCCCGTTGAATCTGGGGCCCACTCCAGCGCAAAACAGCCTTTAAGATAGGGGCTCAATCCACCTTCATATGTTCGACGAAGACCTCCCAACAGTTACTTCTTAACCTTGAGGATCGGGCCGGACAAAAGGGGGGGTTACGAAATTTGCTGCATGCAGCTGGTTTCGGCCCCACCGAGGG